CTTGTCTTGGCACCGTTCGTTGTAGCATTCTATCTGCTTGGCCTTCTCCGTCTACCATGCATTTTTAATGCGACGGAGCTCTCGAGTCAGTCGCCGTTGAAGTTTGCGAAACTGACTCTTCTCCCCCAAGTCGCTTGATCTGCCACATGTGCAGCAAATACTGCATTTTTCTCCGACACTAATGCACCAATCGTCGCATTGTTGTCATCAAACCAATCAGGCCGCTTACAGTTTGCGCGTCCGATGGTCTCCTCGGCAGCAGCTGTCACCTGGTCGCGAATGTGGTGCCACAGGTCGCCCACTGTGACTATGCAGTCCACATCACACGGGCGTGCAGCCATCGCTTCCTCAAGCTCAGTGCGTTTCACCCCAGTACCGAGGGAGAGAATGTTAAATTTACGCCGATTCACGGCGGGAGTGCAATACATAGATTTACGAAAGTATATGTTCAGTTTGGTCGGTACCAATTTGTGATTAGTGCCACACTCAGCTCCACACAGCACACGTGTCATGCGCACTTCACGTATATCAAGCTGACGTACGATGACATAGTCGAGCAGGTGAGCGTGACCACTCCGCGGGCGCATCCAACTTGCTATGTCACTCGCGTTCAGTGCAAACCGAATGTTCGTGATCGTCAGGCTGTGAGTGGCACACAGTGAGAGCAGCCTGTCACCTTTCGCATTCGCTGAACCAATGACATGCGGACCGATAACATCTGTCCACGCTGATGCATCACGCCCAACGCGCGCGTTGAAATCACCCAGCAGAAATAGTCAGTCGCTCCTCGGCACAGACCGTATCACGGAGGATAGCTGAGTGTAGAATTGATCGCGCATGTCATCTGGATAACATATGGTCGAACCGTACGTGCTTATAATGGTGGCAAACTTACCTCTTCCGAGTCGTAGGCGAACAGTCATCAGTCGCGCGCTGATACCATTTGGTTTGCACACCAGCTGACCACTTTTGTGATCGGATATTGCAAATCCGACCCCATGTTCACGTGGTGCTGAGGTGGCGTTGCCCACCCAGTAGAACGTGTAGCCAGTACCTGCTTTATACAACTCACCTTGCTCAGCGAGCCGGCTCTCGCTGAGCGCCGCAATATCGATGTGGTAGCGCGTCAGTTTCATCGCGACCAGTGCATTGCGTCGCTCGGGACGCTCACTCGAGTTTCGGTCCAGTAATGTGCGCGCGTTCCAGCACCCGATGTTGAATGCTTTGCGTGCAGGCATACGATTGCATTGGTGGGCAGCCTCGTGCGTGGTGGTGGTTGCGCTTCGGAGGTTTGCTGAAGGGATTCAGCCCGGAGCCTTTGAGACGATAGCTTGATTCACAAGACAGTGGAGAGCAGATCGACCTCGGGAATGTGATTGCAGAGACAGATTGGGAACTGTTTTAGGTCCGTCACACGCAGTTTTCGGTGATCTGGAACATTGCATATGTTTTGCATCGTAGTAAGGTACGCACTTGCGACCACGGCCATACGCATTAGGTTTTTGGCGGTTTTGCACCAATTTGACCAGGAGCTACCTGGTTTGAAGCGGGCATTAGCAAACCCTTGAGTACTCAGTGGTGCCCTTCACCGTCAGAGACAATGTGTGGCGCTCGTGCTCTATGCCGATCGAATTGTGAACTTATAACCCGTGAATCTGTTGTCTCCCATGGTTATTTTTTACAGGAAGGAGGCCATGGACCATTTCCTAACTTCCGAAGATGACGGGGTTTGGACTATGATACTGGCAGGGCGCCTACACCTGACAGCAGAACGACTCGGGTCCTCAGCCAACTCCTTCGATTAAATGAACACCCGAAAGGCAGTGGGTCTAGCACATGGTCAGTTCACTGACTCATGCGGATTGGTGTCCTGGCTCTTCGCTAGGGAAGTGTGTAACTCATCTGGTTCCGGAATTTGCCTGTCACTGTGGTCACCACATGACGCTTGTGCCTACAGATGGACCGTGGGTGGTCTGAGCGTCACCACGCACAATTCCACCCATACACCCCAAATGCGGTATGTACCCGAAGGAATAAGACCAAGAGACATGTAGATGGGAACCAGGTTTCATCAACCGAACCGGCTCACACACCTTCCAGAGGCAATACAGATGCATTCCGGCCTAATTGGGAAATCGTGTGTACCATACGTACCCAAGAATGGTGGCTGGCCGTAGCCCGTTCCACACAGGATGCATGGTACCACTGTTTGGGTCTAGCACCGTCACGAGAACGGTGCACCCCGTCCCCTCCAGTAACGACTGTCTCCTGGAGCCAGTATTTACGATGTGAAAGGTAGTGGACAGGTGGGCACCTTTTTTAACATTCACATCAGGCGCGCCCACACCGGGGAGCTCAGTAAACATCTAACTCCTGAAATGCATGAATAATGATCACGCAGTCAAACGTACCACAGTCGCTGCCTGATTGGCCTCGATTAGTAAATCGAATGGGAGCGTACTCATTGCGCTTCTTTTCCGCGCGCAATAGTACCTTCTCCTGCACCTAGGTAACCTCCCTCTTGATCAGCCCATGGATTTCGCACTGATAAACTTCACCTTTGATTCGCAACACCTGAAATCAATATTCGTTCGTCATCAACTCACTTTGTTCTTATCCTGTTAATGTTCTTTTCAGTTTGTACTAGTTCCGCTTCCCCGCACTAAGTTGGCGTACAAAAGCTGTATGAGTGTCCTCGTCGAATTCATTCCGCGTAGCGGTGGGCGCCCTCGCGGTATCACCATCATTAGTATACACGTTAGCTGCAGGTAGAAAAGGCCTCAGCTATCGTGCTGCAGTACAAAAGACAAGAAGGAAAAACTACAGAGGCATACCGGCTAAGTTCCCAGCAACGGATGGACATTGTTCCGGCAAGCTAACAGCTGGCTGTCGTGCCGCAAAAAGTGAATTATATTATGCCTAACGAATGAGCTCGTGATTTGTGAGGGAGTCTAAGCGGGAGAGGATAGGCAAACGAACTTACAACTCAAACGCCATTGGTGCCGCCTCGCAGCCACATCAGCAAGTGTGTCCAACCAAACGTGTTCATCGTCCTTAGGACCCCAGCCAGGCAGTCGGGATGCACCAACCGACGTCAACTTCGAAATGTGGGTTTTCCTTTCTCTCGATCGTTATCGCTTAGCCTCCCATCTTCCAACCGCACGCCTGGCGTGCAAACAATGCTGATCGCTGGAGTCGGTTTGCTGGCATGCGCAACATGTGGCCCTGTCATCGGAGCCCGATGCGTGATATGTTGGTGCTGAGTGGTTTACTCGCTCTTCCTGCACCAAATACGCGACGCTGAACACGCTAATTGCTCACGCGATGCTCCCATCAGACATGAGCTGGGGTGCGAAGGCGGCGATGATCGAACGTGACGAGCATGTTTATGTATGTCGACCTGCTGAGCCAGGTTTCACAACCGTACAAGAGAGTTGAACAGACGGTTGCACTATACACTATACTCTTCAGAGCGAGAGTAATGTCGCGGCTGCGCCACACGGGGCGAAGATTGGCTAAATCACCTCGAGCCCTTGCTATACGGTTCGTAATCTCAGCTTCGATCCAACGGGCGCTATATAGCTGTCCAGGTACTCGAATTCCTGAACGACTTCTAACTGACTACCAGCAAGTGTCAGCGCAGGGTTGTGTCCCTGCCAATCTTGGAGAAGTACTTTGCATTTCGTTGGAGCACAACATAGCCCAAATTGAGTGATAGCCAGTGCTAATCGATCCAGTGCAGCCTGGCACCTTTAGGCACTGTCACATATGGGGGCAATGTCGTCCGCATACTTTAAGTCCATAAGTCGCTCACCAGGAAGTAGCTCTACACCTCCACACAACATCTGTAGCAGGATATCAGATTTTTCTACTGAAATCCTCATGGACCCGCTTTCACTCCTTGTATTCAAAGATGGTAATCCTTCGTCATCTTTCTGTCTTTAGTCGTAACCAAACCGTATCTTATTTTTCTATATACTTCAATGTTTCATGGCGATTTCTCGTCATTTACGATTGCGTCACCTTGGAGATTATCGTATGTTTCTGAGTCCCACACAGGTTATCAAATCTTCAGTTAGTTTCTGAGGCAATGGGACTCAAGCTCAGCGGTTAGAGGAAAAGCGTGCAACACCATGGTACTTCTTATACTACTTGTGTGTATCAGCGACCTAGCTGATGTGCGCCGATGATATCAGGAAACTGACCGTGTTTGACCCCCAGTACATGTGAATAACTATTACTCATCGCCGGTGGGCACACCGAATTAGTAATTCGTCTTTCAGTGTTTGCAACCGGTTCTTCATTGTAACGTTTGTTTTGAAAGCAAGTGGGTCACATTGGTTAAATCGTGTTCTCCGTATAATTCCGCACCGACTACCCTGGTGTGTATGTGTAACTTTACTTTTACTAGCTGGGCGAGATCCGTAAGTAGACAGTGATTAGAGGGACATAAGAGCCTGAGGAAGTCCTAGATGTTTTGTCATGTTAGCGTCTATCATCTTCCTGGATTGAGCTACGGAAGCTTCGGCTAAGTGACAGCCATAAACTCTGTGAATCTCCTACACTGGATCCCATATTTCTGAGTCTTGGATTTTATGCCTGTTAACTAACCTCTGCTCACTCTTCTCGAGTTCTCATTATTGTGAATACTAGTCTCATTCTTTTGTCTACACAGGAGAAAACAGCCGCACCAGTCACGCCTTGGTGTATGGAACACATATGGTCAGTTCTGTTGCACTGAGAACATTACACCGCTTACGTTGAGTGAATGAAAAAGCTTCTAACCTAAAAATAACCATACAAGATACAGACACTTCGATGCCTTTATTTTTCAACATAATCACCTTCAAGCGCAACACACTTGCTCTAGAGGTGCTGAAGCGCCTATATCCAGGTGGCAAAGAGATGTTCAGATCGTTACTCGAAAAACCTTTCTACGGTTTTCAATCCCCTCACTGCCGTAGGGAAAATTTTTCAGTCAGAGCTGGGGCGTTGTTGCTATGAAAAATGAATCTTATCAGCATTCCTGGCCTCCTTTCTCGCATTTTTGTCAGACGTTTCCGATGCTCACAGTAACACTTTCCGGTTATGGCATGACCTTTCAACGAAACCATCACCACACCTCGGGAATCCCAAGAAAAGAGACACTATGGCCTTGCCAGCTGACATTGGCATTCTTTGGCGTAGAAAATCATGCACGCATCCATTGCTTTGGTTGTTCTTTTCCTTCTGATGGAGGTGGTGAACCCAGCACTCATGTATAGTGAGAACTCGTCTAATAAAATTATCGGCATCTGCCTTAAACACTTCCAACTTTTTCTTTCACATTACATGTTAAATACGCTTCTGCTCTGGAGTCGGAAGACATGATGCTCATCGAGCGGCAACTTTTTAGTAATCTAACCCTGTCAGAATCTTATCTGCTCGCTCCTGGGAGCCTCTCTGCTATCTGACGAGTTATTAGTCGGCGATCTTGCATGATCATATCTACTACTAGGTCAAAATTTTCTTGGGTGATAGCTGTTGATGGTATCCCTGTCCTGGGTTCATCTTCAGTAATTTTCCTGCCACACTTAAATTCTTGCACCTAACGTTTAACTGTGGTGTTTAGAAAGGGTATTTTCATGCAATGTATCGAGGATATCATGGCGGATTTCAGACGGTGACATTCTTTTGAGATAGAAATATTTGATCATTGCACGATTCTCCAATATCTCCATTTTCACCAAATTGCATGCAATTTGCAAAAATGAAATTAAAAGAGCTAGAAACATTGTTGTATACTAAGAATAAGGAAATGTTAGATTGTATAAAAAAACTTTATTTGACTTGCTTGGTTAACTGCTTTTCTACCATTCCCGAAACTTTTAATTCCACCCACCTATATTTACTTTCTGGTGTCACTGATTTCGCTCTGTCGGGTGCTTGTGCACTTTGGTATGCTTTCACAACATTTGCCCTTGTTTCCAAAATCAACTTTCACTGTTGGTTACTTCCAATTAATCCATTAACTGCGGGGTCCACATTTGGAGATCATGTCTGATTGTCTGATAGTGCTACATACTATCTGCTTGAAAAAATATGTGCTCATGATTTTAAGATTGTGTCAGTTCGACGAATCCGGAATACAATAACTGGTTCAAAATACGTTTTCCTTACCAAGCAGGTGCAAATGCACAACAACAAAGCAAAATTTTTGGGAGAAATGGCACCTTATAAATCACTTTTGCAATTACTTTCGCCATGTCTTTCTTACCGCTTTATTCTCGGTGTCTTTAGATAGGGTGTTTGAAAACTAACTAGACCAGACAATCCTTATGCAACTACAACAGATCTCTTCAGGTTTCCTGCATCAAATTTTTATTCCTCGGATATCGATTTATCCAATTCAGCTTTGTGTTATCCTAGTTTACCAATCACTCACGCTTGATGTTGATTTCCCACCTAACCGCAATTCAAGACCACTCTCCTCTACTGTTCCTTGTAGCTAAAAGAATCAGTTGTCTTATCCAATCCAGAATTCCTCGCTGAAGGTACTGCCGTGAGAGATTTGGAGATGCCTGATCGGATTCTGATCGGAGGCAATGAAGATACAGTCTCCGGTCGCTTGGCTATTGCTATGCTACGCAATATTTATCTGCATTGGGTTCCAGCTGAGCGCATCCTCATCATGTCTACTTGGTCTTCCGAGTTGTCCAAATTGGTGAGCATCTTTCTTATCCCGAGATCTTTCAGTTGCTTCGACTTCATACTTGTCTGATTTCTCGCCTGTGGAAATCGAAGTAAGACCCTACAACTTGGGTTGGGATCATCTGCTGAGCTCACCTTCATCCATTCACCGCGTTAACCTGAAGACCTTTTGTTCGTATTTGTTTCTTCACTAGGAAAACACCTTTCTCTGAGAATTATTTCGTATCCATCTAACAACCATTCAGTGCACCTTTTTTCCACTGATTAGTTATGATGTGTCCAGTGTTTTGTTCCCAACTGCTACAAAACTTTGCTCTTTTCACCCTCGACTCTGTGGTTTTTTTTCCCCAAGTCTCAATAGTATGCCGCTTTGCATACATGCACCTGAAGAGTGGTCGTCATTTTATTCACGGAATCAGGAACGCGACCAATATGCTACCACTATTGTTTGTGGGCACATCTTACTGTTGAGGAAGTACAGTCTACTGTAAGTGGATCGATTTCAGGAGTATCTCCTTTGAGGTGCCTCATATAATGGCAGTGCGACTCAAGCCATGATAAGCTAACTTAGTGGTTCCATTTTATTTTGCGTTTTAAACGCGCTTCCGCGTTGCTGCTTCGCAGTCTCTAGCGCCATTTGTGTTCATGTGTATTGATAGGATCATCCCAGTGGAATCGACTTATACGCCCGAACGAGTAAGCAAGTAGTAATTTTCTCATCTGTGTGGTATACAGTGGTGTAATAGGATGGCGTTTTCCAGAGCAGTTCCAAAATACCTATTGTGTATGTTCGTTCAGTTTAATATGTTAGAAAGACGGAGAAGTTTATAGTAGGATACAAATGATTATACAAAATGTTCAAGTGAAGGAGTACGGGTATCCGTGTAATCGTCTTCTCGGGATCTGCTTCCATGCGGGGCACTTCCTCGAAAGGTTTCATCCGCATCCCCACAGCTCATCAGGCTTTGTGGCGGTATTGCATAATAGCGAGTATATCGCCACTGTATCAGTTCATCTTTAGAGCCGTTGTTGTGTTGAGGGAGAAATAGACTCTGTTTTTTATGGTTGTAAGCCACTCGGCCTGTTTTAACATCCTACTTTGTCGAGTCCGACACTTGTTGCTCGTCAGTGTGTCTGTGGCAATTCGCCTTGCGTGGAAGCATCCCTCCATCAATCACTTCAGGAGTTCGGTTCAATCGGGGCCGACAGTGGGAAAAGAAAAATATAGAAATATAGTGAAATATAGATAGCCTTAAGTGCGTGTCATATGTCGACGGCTTCTGCTTCAATTTGTACACAAGGATAACCGAAAAAAGATGGATGACTCTCTAAGGGACTCCAGGCAATCGTGTGGTAGAGTAGTTGATATCGAAAGTTTGACGTCGCTGAAGTGATAAGAGGAAGATAGCGAGCTACCGCGTCAGTACTCGCGAGAAGACTTCGTATCACTTCATCTGCCCGCAATTAAATCAAATATACCATGATAGGCACGTTTATGATCTTTGTTGTAGTTCACCGACTTACAACACGGCCACCTGCCGAGATCGGGAGTTGGGGCTTTCCCACAAAGATGAAGTTGCGATTTGTTCAACAACCAGAACTGAATGCATTGGGTTGTTGTTTTGGAATCGTGCTGCCTATCAAGGATGTCACTGTTTCGTTTACCGGGCCAATGATGACGTGAGGCTCAATGTTTGGATGGTTGATCTGGTGCGTGAAACACAGTCCTTAGCATGGGAATGCGATGCTATTACTTCGCTCGCCGTTCGGGCTGAGGCACTAATGACTCACCCTTAGCTTGGCTTGATAAATTGAAAGACGTAACTCGCAACCCGCACCAATGACGGGTTTTTCGTCGTCTTCAATTCGGGCTTACTGTTTAACGTGTTTGTGCTTTCGAGAAAGCAGGTAGTGAGAACCACAGGAACTGTCCCGTCGGTCTTATCCAATCCTCACGTGATGCACTCGATTGTTTGTGACCGCACGCTGTTGTCTTGAGCACTTTGCCTCTGAATACTTGCTTAGGTAATGCAGTTTTCGCGTCGAACTTGACCTTCTTCCTGATTGTGCCCCTTTAGGCATACGCTTAAGATCAAGGAAACACCGCGTAATACTGCTCTTTTTGGCAAAAACCGAGGATGGAAGTATAAGAATAGACTACAAGTGTGCATTTCGACTTGTTCTTCCAGACAATCACACCACGGAGTAATAATAGTTTTGACGAATACCCAATAGGAGGTCAACATCAGACTACAAAGATTGGATGATCAAAGTTCAAGGGGTAGAGGAGAGGAGGAAGTGCAGAAGATACTCTGGACTCGTGTATGATCGTTACCTTGAGCATGCGTGTGATGCTCATAGGATGGAGGATTATTACAGAACGGGATATGTGTCATGTTCTTCCTCAGATTCTAAGATGACTTCCAACTATACATTCACGGCCATTTAGTCACAACGTGACAGCTGTTCACGAAAATAGTATGTTTGTCTATTTGCAGGCTACGATGATGAGTGATATAGTCAGTGAAAATAATACATGTAAGTCGGGAGGATTCACGTATGCTTCTGCCTTGAGTGCTCGTGACGTTCACGATCCCCAGCATGTGACTTTCATAGTCAAATATCTAGCTATGTAGCAAGGTTGTTCAGACAACGGATTCTGCAGTGCCGATGCAGTCTGTTGTTCATTTTTGTGTCTCTTTTTTGGCCGTGATCTTATTACTTCATCTGAATGCAGTTGGAGGTCGAATGCTTACATTATATTTAGCATAGCAGGAAAAGTTTGTTTTCGATGTACTTTGAACCGAAGTACTTTTCGTCTCTCTGACGGCTGATTTCCTTGTCACTATGCGGCTGCCTCACAGTAGCATCAGGTTGAGTCGCTTGCTTACGTGCTAACGTGTGGGACTGTCCTTCCGTCTGTACTGCGCTGCATCGTTATCATCGGCCTTTAGCCCTGCGAGGTTATCGCCGACACGTTGGGACAATACAAGCTGTTGAATTTATTAGATGGAGACGCATGTAAATCGTCCGCGGCTTGGAAATTATATTTATTTATCTATTGGATCACGGACGTAACTCTATGAAAGCTGTTTTTGTTCCGTTGCAACAGCATCACCTTCCTCGTTCGCGGTCATGACTAACGCGTGACCAATAGTATGAACCGCTTTAATCCATCCTGCTATTTTTGAATACACCTCGACACTACGATTGACTATTCCCATCCAGCATCGAATTCGAAGTCACTGGTTTCTTGCCTGGGCTACTTGTTATAGTACTGTTTGTTAGTCTATCATTTTAAGATACTTATAAATAAATAAATAAATCTTTTATTTCTCGATGATGCGAGAGACTATTTCCACACAGGAAAAGATCAGAATATTCAGAGATTTTTTCATTGAGTCCCTCTGTACATATTAGACGGGAATATGCATTGTGTTATATCCATGTCCGTTTCACACATTCACCTTGTTCAGGGTGAAATGCTGGGGTTATATCCTCCGTTAATGGATGTCCCGTCGATCTGCACCTGTGCAGTTCGACCAGAAGGCGGAAATCGGACTTTGATGGATGAATTGTGATATTCCTTTGATCTGGCGTTCTGAGCTCTTTCGTGTCCAAGTAATGCAACAAGCTGCAATGCAAAATATATACCTCCTAGACGGCTGGATGTTCAACTGCCTAGTGAGAGGCCGATGTAAAGGAGGCAGCTAAGGAAGCACGGAAGAGTGTAGGGAAAGTGCCGGAGTGGAATAGGAAGGTAACGACAACAGGAAGCGAAAACGACCGACCTCTTACCTGTTAACGTGTTACCGTGACACCCGCGGACCGGCTAACTTAGGAGGCGTTGTCCTCAGCGCCCATAATGGCCCATACCGGCATCAACTTATATACCTTCAATAGGCATTGAGTGCGGTATATTAAGCTCGGGAGATTCAACAACAAGCAGCACGATAGTAGAAAGTTAGCTATTACCTCAATGGCTACAATCTAGCTTCGTGGATTTCTGTCTTGAACTTTTAGGGTCGCCAAATATATAATATTCCTCCGGTCTGGCGTTCTAACCTCTTCCGTGTCCAAGTTGTGCGATAACCTGCAATGAAAAAATAGATACCTCGTAGACGGCCTGATGCTCAACCGCCTAGTAAGAGGCCGATGTAAAGGAGGCGGCTAAGAAAGGACGAATGATGGAAGAGAAAGTACCGGAGTGGAATAGGAAGGTAAGGATAACAGGAAGCGAAAGCGATCGACCTCTTACCTGTTAACGCGTTACCGTGACGCCCGCGGACCAGATACAGAGCCTTTCTTTCAAACTCCCGCTGACGCGCAATCGAACTTCATTGATTGATTAAACCACCCTCAGAAGTCCCAGTTCGTACTGGGCTCAGGGAAGAACTAAAATAATTAATAGTATCAACGTAGGTAAGGAACGGCCATAAAATGACTGCCTGTAAAAATAAATAAAGTGTAAATATCTGGCAAAGAATAATGCAAAAGTGTAGACATCAGTTTGCAAGGAATACATAAAATTTGGCAAGCGTTCTTGTAATTTCCCTAGTAGTTGTTTTGGGACATGTAGAAATGCGCACTCATGCTGAAAACCTTACCCTGTGAGGAAAATACTTCAGAATGTATCGGAGATTCTAATACCAACAAACTCTGGCCTTAAGTACAATGAGTGCACAAGGTGCATCATTTGGTAGATGATAACATTTCAATCCGACGCAGCTATAATAGGAAAAGTGACCTAGATGATGGCAACATAATTTCTAAATTGTAAAACTAAGTATGCAAAGTGTGGTCCAGCACAATAGTATATCTGGCCATGAGTTGTAGTGGAAAGCTTCATGGCCTCTATACTCCGGATTATTACGATATACAGTAATGCTTGTGTGCTTCACAAGCCATCACCACTGTGATTTTTCTGAACGATGCTAACTTTTATTACGCCAGAGTATAGTATGAATAATAGTATCAGCGTAGAAGAGAGGTCTGTGAAAAAATAGGAGTTGGGTGTCCACTCATCATTGAGCGTGAGACTTAACAGGCGCATGGTGGAAATGGAGCCAGGTAAGACAATATAATGTAGATGGTTAAGCTAAGGTATAGTGGCGGTCGAAAATCATGGAAGTCCGGATAACCGAGATGACAGTGGTCACTCTGACACACGGTTTACTTTCAGACCAGGTTGAATGAATATGAAATATTGAAGAGCAAGATGAGAATAATGTACGAAAGAGGATCTGGCTTCTCATTCTACCAATCTGCCAGTGTTGACATTGGCAGATGGCGAGCGTTCGAGTCTGCTAAAAGTTAAGACGTGGTGAGGGCTAAGATGAGGTGAAGTGATGACAAGAACCTGCGTCACATTTGTTGTTTCTTCAGAGCAATAGTTAATCAACTATCTGGAATATTATGATATGGAGTACCGAGGTGAACTTTTTTTTCTCGAATCAAGACAAGACAAAAATAGGAAATCAGATGATCAGTGCAGGACGGTTCGGAGAGCCAATGCAACGAAGTGAACCGAAACCTCCTAACGCTAGGCAAACCCGGTAGCCCAAGTGGGGTAAAGAAAGCATAGAACATAGTAAAAAAGGAAAATTAAAATTACCCATAAGCTAATCAGTATTGCTGGGTCTGCCCGCTTCCGAAACTCACTGATTACAAATGAATGTTGAGTTTCTTGGGCAATGCCGACAACATTTACTTGCACGACTTAAGTCATTTAATTAAACTGCACTTCTGACGGAGCCTGTTCGGACTTTATGAACGCTGATCATGAGCTACCATGAATTAGTTCAGATACTAAGCGTCGTCTCCGAACTTACCTCAATGAATCAATAAGTCCACTGCAAATGAACAAATGCGCCACGTGCTTTATGCATTTATTATTCGTTTTTTCCATTGGTTCTGTCCCTTTGCTCTGTTTTTCCGTACCTCAGAATTGATCGTTCATGGAGATCAATGAAATGCTCAAAATAACCTTGTTTTTGTTTTCTAACGCTCCGTATTCCTCACATGTCGGCCCCTTTCCATATTCGAACGCTCACATGCTTCTCTCAAGTCAAATAAATGTCGAGCATGTCGCAATCGATCGAACACCGTACTGTGAGAAAAATGATAATTTTTCCATGCTTTGTCAGTGGAAAGTGTAACAGTTCGCGGATGATCATTTACCGCCAACAGGGGACTGACAAATTCACTGTGAAACGTGGCATGGGACTGCCACAGTATTCCTGTAATTTTTGCTATGACATCGACAAAATCACAGAGCTAGCGTGTAATATCAACCGTCCTAGAGTTGCATATGACACACATATACGTACTGTACTAACGTGAGGCATACATCCTTAAGTGTTTGCCACGATTCTGTTGCCAGATGCAGTGAACTGCTGAATGTTACATGGACAGTTGCCACTGAAGTCAATTTGGGGACGTTTGCTGTCTTCAGGTTCACACTCCTGCTTCCAGAGTTTGTAACAAATAAACACATTTTTAATCTTGATTAAACAAGGCACGCCTACACATGCATAATCATGGTAAGAGTACGACAGATGCTCAAGCAATGCACATTACTATAATGGGATTGTCCCATATGTTGCTTTATGAATGCATGCATGTGTGCGTGTAGACGTGTGTGTTGCTTGTGTTTGTAGATGTTTTGCTGCACCTGTACTTGTGTTTGAACGTATCGCCAGTGCTAAAAGGGATGTTTGACTCTATGAATTTGAATCGATTTTACGGATAAGCAAAAGGCTGTGACTTTAGTTGCTGGAGAGTCACAAACACCACTTCACAGTGTTATTAAACTGGTATTTGTGGCTTTTTATGGGGAGAACACTTGCCGGGCGTAACTCCATTACCAACTATTTGCTGGAACAGGTAAACACGAACCACCCAGCTGTCGCCACAGGAAGATGGTTCGGCTAACCAGCCGGCTTTCATCATCTAAATTTTGTTAACTTTCGCTCAGTTGCTTTAGAATGCTCAAGCTGTCTACATGTTGCTTTCACATGTCTTTTTAAACTTAAGGCTGCAAACGCCTTTCTCGCCCAACGGATAAGCAGCATCAATGCCATTTCCGCCATATGCGAAGTGACCCATGCGGACATTCGAGATGTCTCACGTGCCATAGGATCTGATAGCCGAATAGGACCACATTTCTTGAACGCATCCCTTGGATTTGGTGGTAGCTGCTTCCGTAAGGACATTTTGAATCTGGTGAGTGTGTTTCCTGCTTATGTTATATTACACCTTTCACCCAGTGAGTTTTTAATCACCATTTACTCTTGTCTTAAGAAGCACATTAGATTAATTCTATCGTCTTTATCGTAGGTAATTTCAAAGAATCATCGACAGCATCAATATATCGATATCGAGCTAGCCTGTAATCCATTCGTGCATTTTACTCGCATTCGTATCATCTGAACAGGATTTCCTGTGAAACTGGTATGGAATAGCCAAAGTTTCAAAACTTGCACCTTGCTAGTAGCGTTCGGTCGCAAACCGTAGCTGTCACTTTAGGTTTACTCGGAACGAGCGCGCTTACTTGATGGAGTCAAGCCGATTTGTTCCTGAATGAGGAAGACTACATTAAACGGATGCCAGTTATCATCAGTACATAAGAATTCCCTTGGTACACTCTATTTTCTATCACATTGCGATTTAAACCTGAGTACGTCCCATGCGTATGGATACTTTTTGTGCAGTCATCATCGTCAGCATAAAAAAGCGTCAAATGCCTATTGCGTGCGGATACACCTTTATGGAGTCACAGAACGAAAATAAATGTAACACAAAACCTTCATCGCTTAAACATCCGTTCAGCGTCATGGTGCCAACACTTCACCAATGCCTTGTTGTCAATCGGTTACGACATTAAAATAGGACGGAGTCGACTTGATAGCCCTACTTCGATTCTTACGCACTTTAATCGCTCTTATCCCAGCCATTCTCAACAGGCCATATGGCCACCTTGTGGGCCATGGAGAATTCCCGGGGGGCGCTGAGATAAATTTTTTACGGGACCATAGGTGCCATGCCTTAAAAAGTGAGTCCTGATAACAAAATAAGAAAATCCATTTTAAAAACTTTATGATAGTCCCTCTTTGCGCACGAATCTACTCTGGTAACTACCGATCAGTGAAATGAATTGCGCGCGCGCAATTGACTGTTTACGAAGGTGCGAAAGCCAGACTTTCTGTTGCGGAGCTAACACAGTGAACCAAATGACCTGTACTCAAGACACTGATACATCGACTGTGCAATCTGCAGGGATCCTTGTGAACTCTCGTCAGAGCACTGCGGCAGTTACCGCACAAAGTCACACGGACACCAACTTAATTCTCTTCAGGACACTTCCACTGTGTGACATCTCATATGCATGTCAGTCTTTTTCTCGTTAGATCTCAGTGCGGTAGCACTAGGTTGCGCGTTTCTCATCTCCATTCTCAACTGGCATGTACGACTGGGGGCTAGATCACGTTAGAACGCAACGTTCTGAATTCGAGTGGCTACTCTGCGCACGTGGCGTAATATCTCTGAAGAACGTTCGTTCGTTCTGACTAAAAGTCGTAATAGTTATTGTCGCGTTATGACGCTTTTTTAACATTCAGTTTAGCAGTTTTCAAATTAGTTAGCAGTTTTGTCAACTTACATCATACATGTGAACATCCGGTTTCTTTATTGAGTACATGTAACATACTCTATACATAAGGATACTTCTAATAATCATGTTAATCAAATATCTTACCAACACGCATTGGGCGTCATGTTTGGCAATAGCCGATGTACGTTTTTGGGTTCATTGTTAAGTCTCCCATGCTGGTTTCTTGAACGGTTCTGGCATTTTCTTTCGTGTTTGCCCAATTTGTCCTTCATTTTACTTCTTGTCACCGTTTCCTGTAATGCATGTGTGTCCGGTGAGCACAGTCATTTTTTTAGTTCCATTTGTTTTCTTTATTAGCTTTTGTGAAGAAGTTTTCTTCAGTTCTTTTAGCTGTCCACAGTATTTTTAAAGGCATCCTCAGGAACCATCTTTAGATTGCCTCAAGCAGTGTTTCTACACTTTTACTTTTTACTATTGTAGCCACCAACAGGTGTTACAAGCATACTTACCAAATGTCCAACCCTATAATCTCACGATCAGGCATGAATAAATTTAGTGCCACCAATCATCCACGCTAACTGCGTGGTTCACCCTGTCGAATAACGTTATTTTATACCCGTGATGTAACTGAGTAAGACAACTAAAACTAAAGCAGTATATATTGTTTACATATTAACAATTTATGATAACTTCTTTCAGGACATACTATGAACACGTCCTATCATTCTGTGAACTGCTTAGAGGTTAAACAACTGTTACACTGGACCGATTGAGCACAGCTGCTTCCTTACTAGACTCAGTTACATCCGAAACGCAAGAACGCCTCTGTAGATCACATGATGTTATCCTTTTTAACTTGCCTGATAAACGGAACATCGACAGAGTAACAAATACCCTCTTACAAGCATGCAATATGGATGGAGTCTCCTGTCAGTGCCTCAGACTGAGGAAGAAGGAAAACATGACCACATGTCCAATACTCTTACAGTTTCCGGACGATAGGAGTGCATCTAAATTTGTACGCAGTAAAAGACTAGTTGCTGCACAAACTGATTTTAAAAATATTATTATCAAACACGATCAAACGCCTCTTCAAAGGTGATTACCAATGAAACAAAACCCCTCCGCCCATCATACACCCCATGTTCCTACTAACGAAACCAGTACTGACGCTGTCATCAGCAATGTCAACCCTTGTAAGTCGACCGCGTCTTCTAACATAGGCGATGACGGGCATCTCAGCCTTTAGCTGCCTCATGAAAGATTCTCACAGAGCAGTAGTGTTGTGCCCACAACTAAAAATACCAACCAAGCGGAAAAAATAATGACGCAGATACCTGCTGACCACACGCTCAGCTCCTTTGTCTCTTCTCCAAGCCTCGAGCCTTTACAAAAGTTGACAGTAACTGTACCTGTGGCTTATCGAGAGCGAGACAAAAACTCAGATCGTAACGTTGGCATCACGAAAAATAAATCTAAATCCGACCCGAATGAAGTAAGCTATACGTTATCTCCGACCATCCGAGGCGTAGGCAAAAACAGGGGAAAGCACCTTGCCAGAATTTCCCTTATAAGCACTCAAAGCTCATTAGGTCTAAAGCGACCACCACCAGAATGCAGAGATATGCAGCTAGGCCAACTGAGAAAAAGTGTACGTCCTCAAGCTTCTGCATGAAACACCGACACTGTTGTCGGGATAAGTCGCAGAGAGCCGGCCCAATACTTACCCACAATGTCTCTGACTACGTTTCCAAATCCCGCAACCTCAAGCTGGCAAAGCCCTTAGGTGTGCTACACCGGAATAGCAAATAAAATGATGGTAGGCCACACGGACTTACAGGTAAAAGAGTGCAACCCCTATCTACCTCAAGTCAAAATTCACCCACCACCACGCCCTGTATTACTCAATTGGCAACAATACAATACGAAGAAAAACGGTTTTGTAGACTCTAACCTCCCCCCACCCCTGTATGCCACGGATGTAAGTCCTTTTTTTAGACTATCGTACACCACCACTTCCTCCCCCACCAATCTAGCCCCTATCACGTGCGATTACGAATCAGAGAATAATCAAACTACTGGAGTATGTACTTCATTCACTTCAGTACCATGTAAAGGTCAGTGTGCCTCAGCTGCCTCACAACACACAGGTCTTAGATACAATGACGATAGAACAAACATTACCCGCCACTTTCATTCCAATTTAACAATGTCTTTCAAATCTGTCGTCATTAACATTCGTTCCCTTTTACCCAAATTAGGTATACTTACAACACTTATGTCTATGAGATCCCCCGATACTGCTTTTATCATTGCAAGTTAATGCACGTAAGAAATTAGTGATTCTCAGCTTGGCATCTTAGTCTATAAGCTTTTCCGCAAGGATCGCTTACACAAACGTGGTGGTGACTGTGCTATATATCTTCGAAATAATCTGACTGCAATTCCGGCAGATCAACCTGTGTTCAATGGCTTGGAAGATACACTATGGCTAGTGATCCCATCTATTGATCTTCTAGTGGGTTGTATCTATCGGCCGCCCCGAACTACTCAATGTGAAACCCAAATCGCTATAACCAAAGCTGCTTCCAGCACCACATACAAATCCAAAATTATGTGTGGAGATGTCCACCTACCACATGTTAACTGGATGCTGCATGCACTCAGAAACACTGCGGGCATTGAGGAAATCATCTCATGTATTCACCTCAATGGCTAGATCCAGCATGTTAGCAAGCCAACCAGAACTGCTACTACCTCAGGCCTTGTATTCACAATAGGGAATCGCGAACGTTTATACATTCATTGATAATCCACTGCCTGGCTGTGATCCCAACACGGTGCTTTGTGATATGACTGTTGATTTGCCTAAAAGAGCAGGTAAAATGCTAAAACCCATTCGAAACCTCCATCGTGTGGACTGGAACTCATTTAACGAACTTATCACTGCCATGAATTGGAATACGTCATTTTATGCGCATCACTGTGGAGCCCCAGTAACGCGAAACTCGTCTGGTGCTTTTCCGGATTGTGATTGAGCTATGTGACTTGTTAGCTGTTTGGACGAATACATTACGAGTAATTTAAGTCAGTTTTATCCAGCTTAATGGTGGAACTGAACTTCAACATCATTGGTTTATCGTCAGTCTGACCATTGTGCAAGGTGAAATACTCTGGAACAATTCCATTATTCATCGCAATGTGCCTTTGTAACGGATTTGCGCAGACCTGGACGCGTTAGCTTAGACGAGTTACGACACACACTGGGCACGGACCCTAGTCGCACACATATTCCGATGGCATAGTGAGTCCTCGTAAACGGGCGACGACATGCACTCGACCGGGGAACTTAGACGCGCGAGGCTTAGACGAATGCGGAACACACGACTACAGCTGAGCACTCGATCACGGGACCACGCGGATCCCAAACACCAGGAAAGAAGATAAGAGAAGACGAAGCGGACCTCTGGGTACTTTTTTACGACCTAGTTGTAACAATGCTTCATTTTGTGGGTTAATGAATCACCACACAGGGCTGGTGGCTTAGGAAAGAGCATTGTTCACTTTAACACAGTTGCGCCCCGACTTCGGGGTGGCTGGATCCTGCTACGTTGGTGGGACGCATTGAACTTTGTGTAGCGGAGCCCACGCACTGGCGTTTGTGGCGCAGTTTTGCGGGGATACTTGGCGTGCCCGCAACTGTCTTGAAAAGGCCATCTGTTCCTTTTGCGCGTTTTATTTGTGCTTTTTTTCTTTTTTTCCACCCGCTACTCACTGCACCTTTCTGGTCTGTTAACCACTAATAGGTATACATCAGTGAGAGCCTCAACTTACCTGAAGTCGCTTCCTACTGGTACTCAGTACTGCAACTCAATGAGTTTCAGTTGCGTAGATTTTCGAAGAGAATCATCTCCAAGTTCAACAATACACTGCAGGGAAAACGTGTTGCTGTGTTTGGGTTCACCTTCAAAGCTAACACGCACGACACTAGGTGAGTAATTTTTTCATTGCTAATTATTTCTTCCGCTTTTAGCCTTGACACTGCCTCGGACAACGTTTGTTATCATTCACTGCTTTGGCGCAGCTCCATACACACCATTTTAGGCTATTTTTTCTGTTTGAATGAAATTTATTGCAACACTGTATTATGGATGTTACACCGTCTAACCATTGAAGGCACTGAATGCAGGCAACATGCTTTTCACTCCTAACGTCTCCCTTCACTTAAATCCCATTCACCACCTATCGATCAGTGCAATGGGTGGTCTATTTTCGGCACTTTTGATGACCAACCTTTGTTCTTTTCTTCTTCGTGCTGGCTATTTTCTTTCTCCAATCATCACAAATCCGATCAACTTCCTTCACATCTATTGGGATCATTTCAGTCATTTGAACATCTCCCTTCTGAGAAGCATGGAAGATACTGAGTTCTTTTGTCGTAAAGTGGCAATTGTTTTCGGTTTCTTGAGACGTTCAAGCTTTTTTGAAACGTTAGAGCCATCATTCTTGCTGTCGATGGATTTGTCGGCCATTGAATTTTTCACGATAGCTCCTTGTCACATTTCGTATATTGTTCTTTTTCCCATCCGCGTGAGCCGTACTACGATTTTGTCATTTGATGTTTGGCAAAGCGCATTCGGTGCTTCGCCAAAATGCCTGTTGAGCGGGATTTCCGTTTAACTGGCACTGCCATGTGTTCTGCACGCTTACAAACCAACTGCTCTGCATGTATCATTTGTCTATCCTGTACCTAGTTTGATGAAGCGCCGAGGTGGCCATTCATTGTCCTGACAAAGTAGCGTGAAATATGGAAATGCTGAGTGCTTGTTTTCTTCCCGGATGGGATCCTCCAGACCTGTCACATTAATGATTAGACGCGTTCCCGGATATGCCATGGTCACGAACTCATTGGTGCTCTTGCATTCGGCCACTCCTTTCCAACTCTTACACTTCATCTGACAATATTAGTTCTTGTTCACTCCTCTTGCTTATTGTTACTGTTGCTAAGCTTATTATTCTGGTCATAACACACAGACTGTGAGTTTTAAAAGACCTAGTTTAAGTGTAAGTTGGTTTAGCCCAACTGCGTTGAAAAGCCATCAAGAATGCAATATCAGCCTAAGCATGGGGCACATGTACATATACATATCTATACATATATGCATATATTTATATATATACATATGATTTGGCGGCGTCCGTATCCGGATTTGTCTGTCACTGTGACGTCCATGGGGACAGTCACAGGACGCCTGCGCCTACAAAGGGGGACCATGGGTGTCTTGCGCTGCACCACCCATAGTTCCACCCACACACGCCATATCCAGTGTAAACCCGAAGGAATAAGACCGGGAGGCATGTGAATGGGAGCCACGTTTCATCAACGGAGCCGGCCCACACTTCTTCAACATGCAGAACGGAAGCATTCCGGCCTAATTGGGAAATCATACACATCAGACGTACACGAGGCGGTGTCTGGACCGTAGCCCGTTCCACACAGGTTGCATGGAACCACTCTTTGAGCCTAGCGCCGTCACGAGGACGGTGCACTCCGTCCCCTCCAGCAACGACCAACTGTCTCCTGGAGCCAGTATGGACGAGGTGGTGGGTAATATACAGATAGGCACCTTGTCAACATTCACATCAAGCGCATCCACACCGGGGAGCTCAGGCAACATCTACTTCTGAAATGCAAGGTTACTCATCACGCAGGCAAACGTACCACATACGACGCCTTATTAGCCTGGATTAATAAATTGAACGGGAACATACTCATCGTGCTTCTATTCCACATACTATATGCCTTATCCGGCACCTGAGAAACCGCTCTTTTGAGCAGTCCACGGAATTTGCTAGACCAAATTTGCCTTGGATTCGCAGCGCCTGAAATCAACGTGAGTTTGTCATAAACTCACCTTCTTCATGTTCTGGTAATGTTATTTTCGGTCTGCTCGAATGTCGTTTTACTGCACTAAGTTAGCCGTACAAAAGCGGTATGAGTATCCTCGTGGAATTCATTCGGTATACATATAGTTACATTGATTGGCGTCATCTGTGTCCAATGGCAGTTCCAAGACAACATATGTGCATGCGTTTATCCAAACTGAAGTGTGAGCTGTCACAAACTGGATAAAGACACATTAGACATCATTATCAATGGTACGACAAACGTGCATGGGTTCCGTCTGGTGGTCCGGCTAACAACCACTTTCGCAGGCATGAAAATAACTACCCAATACGAACTGTTGATGTTTTCTTCAACATTTAAACGTGACAGCCTTAAATCTTGGGCATCCATATTTGAAGGTACCCGGTGTAGCATTAGTGAAGCAACTGCTAGGTAGAATGATGACTAGACAACTGGTACAGTGAAATAGTGTGCACTTAGGTGTTGCCTTCTACACGTACAGTCTGGTTTGAGTACTTAATGGGGGAGATCATATAGCATGCGAATGCGTTGCAGTGTCCATTTCTGGCTCTCTGTATCTCCGACCGTTTCAGTCATGTGCTGCTCGACGTATGTGCACCTACTCAAAGAACGATTGATTCGCAACCTTTGGTATTGACAAGTGACATCAACTAAGTCCCGTTGTTCACTGTCAAACATGCGACTTTCCAAACAGTGTTCGCATTTATTGTGCAAATGTCCAAGTACTGAACGGTTTATACCTACCGACCTGTACTCTACTGTGGCCAGAAGCTATTTGGTAACGGTCTGTCTCGTACGTTTCGGGTGCAGCCATTCGGTGCTCATAAAACCATTGTCGCTATGCGCCGATTCATTTCCGATGTTATATAATAACACACTGATGTACCATTCCCGTTAGGTTCAACCTTTTACTTAATCCATTCAAAAGATTGGCCATGTGCAATGCAACTTCTGGTATGCGTCTCTGCACGTCTGCCTTCCATCCGGTGGTGAGTACGTGTGTTTTAATAAGCCCCGGTAAATTCAGTATGGCTGAGGGATAACTGGAACTATAACTATACTCACTCTCATCACTAGCCTGCGGAGTGGAGCATGAAATGGCGACATCGTGATAATCACTAGTCGGTTAATTGTCGGGATCGTTCACTTGACACAGAATTTCCAGGGAAATTTCTCTTCGAATGCATACTCCAAAATGGTCACACGAAGGACAATCGTTCAGCATTGTTACAAATGTCAAATTCGACATTTTATGCATACTGTAAACGGCCAAGCGATAATAACCTTTTGATTCAAACGTGTCCATCGAACTGGAAACATACCCCATAATTTGCCACCCTAGCATTGACCCGTAGCAAGCACACAAGTCGCTCGGAGAAATAGCACTCACGTCAATTACGAATGAGCTCATGGATGGACTGAACCATTATTCTGCGATACACCGGCTCTCTAAGCATCTTGCAAGTTAGCATTGAGCAGCTAGTCAAGCTACGGTTATGGTGAGCAATACCATGGAGCTTACATAGTGATGTGAATCGCGGACGAATAATAATACGAAGAGGAAGATGCCATAGCTCACTGTCTCGGCATGTAACCATACTAGACACCGCTTGAGTCAGTAGTTAATCATCCTAGAATGAAACTACACCCAAGCCCGACTTACATGCGGTATATAGAATAAGGATGACACCAAAAAAGAATGACGGAGATAGCGTAAGCAACTTTCCAAGTTAGCAGGGAAATGGTGAAATTATGTCCACTGCAGGCTATCCGTGTCGTAAGGTAAAACCAGAGCCGGTTATAATCGTCTGTTGTCCGAGGTGAGCGAGAATCGACAGGGAGGTAGAACCAACAAGCAGTCCGTCATGTGTTACTATTTATTGCCCCCTGGTCATTCGTTCTGACCGCTAACATATATCGACCAAATCATCAGTGTCCAGAATACTATCCATGCCCAAGCATTTCGATTCAGATGTCACAACGTATTGCTGCTGCTCCGGGAATCAACCTTGATGACTTGTCTGAATCTGGATTGAATGAAAGGATAACAGCCATATTTCTGTGGTTTTAGCAAATCGCACGTAGAATTATAAGTAACCAATGCCACTGTCAGTGATTAGTTAGCGTTTGGATGAGAACCGAAACGACAGCCTTAAGTTTAGTCAGAAGTGTGGGTATCAACAATAGATTGAGACAGATATGGAAATACGGAAACAAATGCCGTGAGTATGGTTACCAGGTAGAATGATGCATAACTAAATGTACCGTAGAACACAGATGAGTTGTGGTTCCTGTGTACTTGCTATAAGCACTATTAGACGATAATATCATACATTTCCTGTTGGCCCCCTTGACACTGTCACATCACCAACACATGTAGTAAATTCCGCTGCTCCCTATTCTATCATCGACTTTCGAAAGAGTGTGCGAACTGTTTTAGCAAATTTACAAGAAGCAACTTGCATAACATTTAATTATCTAATATCTCAAATGCGTATGTCGTGGGCATCATGGTATCTTCACAGCGGGGTTTGGAATGGAACCACTTAGACATGGCTTGAGAAAACAATGAACGATTAGATCTCCATACACATGGTGTGATTTGCAATGAAAACAGTGAGCATTGCAAAGTTAATCATATGAGGGTAGACAAACAATGGCTATCAAGTGCCCGGACAGATGGCGCCGATAAGGTGGTTAACTGAACCTATTATATTCCCATGCGATCTGGATTTGTCATCGTAATTTTACCGCTTACAATTTACTAACAATCTGTCATCATACATATCGGTTGCAGCTATTCTTCGCAACAAATCAATTGTTGCTGTGCTGGGTTCATTTTCCAAGTACATATTTATTTAGACACTACCGTAACACCACGGTTGGACTAATCTACTTTTAAGTCAATCTAGATGATTGGTCCATTCTAATTTAAATTGTAAGAGGAACGTTTGCTCTTCCGCACCTTATCTCGATAATAGCTGACTTATCCTAACTTCAGTATGAGCGATGTACAACTGGAAATATAGCTACACTCTTTCGCATGACTAATATACGAAATGGAACATGTAACATCAACATCAGCATGTTAATCGCTAGTCAGTGACTTGCCGGGATTATTCAGCTTACACGGACGAGCCAACGTGTGGATACTTGCAACAATAGTTGTTGGGTCTTGGACACCGAATTTCCAAACTGCATTCCAAATCGAGGAAGTGTTGTAGAGTACTTGAACTCCAGGGATAATTGTTGATCACTACACCCAATTGTTCCATCCAATGT